AAACGGGTCCTTTACAATCTAAATCAATATTTGTTATTTATCTCATCTTCATATTGTGCCTCTAGAGCATCTAGCTGCCGTACAGCCTTCATTACTGCCTCAAAATCCTCAGCCCCATGCTTCCGTATGGCCTTCCATATATCTACCTTTCTGAAATGAAAATATACAAAAATAAATAAATTGGGGTCAAAAGAAGCCTTTCAATACCCGCACAAAAAGTATATATGACATGTAACACCAATTAGACAATAACATAAATTAATAGCAACCAAGACATAATTTGTAGGAGTATCTTAGCAGCACACACAAAATATAAGATATATAACATAACATAAGACCACAATACCTTTTTTACTTTAAGTCTATCAAAAAAAAAAAAAATTGGTTATATCAAAGAAACAAAAACAATTGCAGAGAAAGTAGTTTTTGGTAGGGATATATATTAAAGAAAGAATATCACATTGGCTCATTGATATCTCATACATTCGGTGATGGAAGTAGTTTTCCATTATAAAACTACTTCATTTGAAGCTGCGTTCTTTTATATTAAGGGCATAATTGTCTCTCTCTCTTTTTTTTTTTCAAGTGAGATAAATTTTGTTAATTGATAAGAATTATAGTTAAAAAGGAAGGAAGACAAGCAAAGTCGTTGGTTTCGTGACTTCTCTCCTTCTCCTTCATATATTCATAGTAATTCATTTCATTTTAAATTTTAATTTATTTCAAACGAAAGTAATTCTATTTTAATTGCAATTTCAATTTCTTTTCCAATTCCATTTTCAAGATCGCAAAAGGATTCAATTCCAAATAAAAGACTCCTATTATTATTTTGTTTATAAATTTGTCTCTTGTTATTTTACTTTATAAAAGACTATTACTATTATTTTTGTTTATTTCAGATTGCCACAAAGATGTCGCTGCTCAGTAATTTGAGTAATAATTCTCTATCCACCTTTCATTCCTGGTCTTGATTGTGTTTCAATTTTCACTAATTCTAATTTTTTTCGTTTTCGTATTCGTATTCCAGTTTTACTTTCTGCGTCTACTGCTACCGCTTTTCTACTTTCTAAGGCGTATGTTTCATTCTTTTTTTTTTTTTTCTTTTTTTTTTGTCAATTGATTAGTTCACAGCTTGAATTAATACTTTTACTCATACAATGTCTAAGAATTATTTTGAAACAATGGTAATATTTCATTATATGTCCCTTATATCTTAATTTTTGTTTTGATTACAGGATATTTAAATTGGAGGATTGGCTCGATAAAGGGTATGTCTTATTCCCCTTGAAACTTGAATTTACCTTGTGTAATTTTTTTTTTCTTTCATTATCTATTGGTCTCGCATCGTATCAAGTGTTTAGTTGTATATGAAACAATTACTTAATTTAATATTCATGCTTTTGATTGGTGTTCTCGTTTGTGATGTTATTGTGATAATTTGAAACTATGTTCTGCTTGACGATTAGAATATCTGCTTCCGATATGGTTTCACAGATTCCTAACATGTGTGATGGCTCTTTGTATCACATTACATGGCCTTACCACAAGAATTCATGAGTCAATTTGCTAACTCCATGTAATTTTCTTCTGAGGCTCTGAGTAAAATATTTTTTTATTTTCTTGTCGTTTTTACTAAGAAAAAAATATTAAAATTTAACAAAAATAATTTATCAATAAATTTTTGACAAGTTATTTTACATATTCCGCCCGATGGACTCGACCTCAACCTCAACATAAATCTTTGTCAAATAGTGTTTCAGCCAGCCCACTTACAAACACTGACAAAGTAAATTTTTTATTTTATTTTTTATTTTATTAAATTTCAATTCTCCTTTCCAAATTGAAAAATGGATGTATGTTCATGGAAGATGTGGTCCACTTACATAGTGCTCTATGTATCTCAATCTTATGTTGCGTGTTGTGGTAATCCCATGCATTCTCACTCTCACTCTCACATATGCACATCTTTGTATTTGTTTCCTCACGAGGGAGATTAGTGAACTCTCCACATGCCCTGATCTTTGGGTTGGGGCGAGGTTTACTTGGAAAATCAAATTAATTTTGACACTTTGATTGATTGAACGGTGATTAAATTATCATAAAAGAGCTTAAATTAAAAACTTAATTTTGCTTCATTATCTAAATGGTGGAACATAAATGAGCCTTGCTTCAAATTGAACCTATTCATGAACTATTTGGTTCATCTTTTATTACTTCATTTGAAATTCTTGCTTCAATTTTATATGCTAGCAGCTAGTTTGAATTTTGTTATTTTATATATGGAATTTATTTTTCATTTCACTTTGTACCCGTATTATCAATTCTTTTTTTCTAATGTTGTATCTAAGCTTTTGGGAAATGAATTATGGTGGTGTTCAGGTGAATGATTTGAGGAATGAATAGATTTGGAGCTCATATCTAGTCCATTAAAATTGGTTTCAGAGTTTCGATGGAATATGTAGGAGGGCATAGTGTAGAGGTGGTCTGTGAGATGTATTCTTATATAATACTCAGTTATGAGATTGATATAATACGTACTTGAGCAGTTGTCCTTTTTAAAAAAAATAAACTTTTACGCCGTAAGAATTTGGATATCACACTTGTTTCATTTAATTATTAGTCGGAATTCCATCTTCTTGTAAACTTTTTGTGCTTCGTTTGTCTAAGTTTGTGTTTCTTCAAACACGTGTTTCCTAATTCAGATATCACTCCATGATCATAAAGTTGGGAGATTATTTGTTCGTGTTTCCTTTGTGCAGATTTTTCCTAATCCACATATCACTCCCTTGAATTTCATGGCTTCTAGGGTAAAACAAAGTAATTTAGGATTTGATTTAGGGAGCTATAGTTTCTTTCTTAGATAATTTTTTTTGTTGCATTATTATTATTATTTAAATATATATCCCTACCAAAAACTAATTTCTCTGTTTTTTTATTTATTTGATATTACCATTTTTTTTGTAATTCATTATGTTTTTTCCATTTTGATGAAATTAAAATAAGAGAGTATTTTGTACTACAAATTATGTCTTGGTTGCTATTAATATTCATTGTTGATGTAATTTTTTTTTTTTTTTTTTTTTTTCATTTCAGAAAGGTGGATACATCGATGAGAAAGGTGGATACATCGGTGGGCACGCGCAAATGCACACTCACACGCACACGCACGCGCACACGCACGTATACGGTGTATGGGAGACCGTACGACAAGTAGATATTGCAACGGCACAATATGAAGATAAGATCAAGAATAAAAAGAAATTTAGATCCTAAAGGATCCTTTAGGATTGCTTTTCAATCTCTTAAAAGTGGTTTTATTTTTTAAATTTGCATTCGGTTGTATTTAGTAAACATGAGAAACACTTGTCTTCTAACTTTTAAGAAGAGAGTATATTTTAGAATATATATATATATATATATATATATATATATATATATATATTTTAATCAAATACACTTGACATTCTATTAAGCACTTTATACATTTTAGGGGAGTTTTTAAGACGTTCTCATAAGGTATAGGAATAGATATTGGGTACGCCGGGTACACGAGCCGTACATGCACAACACCCAACATAGTTTCAAATGACATTTGAAAGAAAGGTTTCCCAAGGCAACATCCTCAGAGGCCTTAGGTTCATTAAAATGGTTTTTAAATGTTGCTTAAGCTGATTCCACTTTGATAACATTTCTCAACTATTATTAGATTTGTGTTATGGGCTAAAGAAGTATAGCAAAATGTTGCTTAACTGGAGGTATTGATTTTGAGATTGAAACCGGCGGCGGCTTTGTCGCCGTTGATGGAAGTTAATCAGTCGAACCCAATTATAATAAATTACAGATTAATTAATCAAATATACTTGTATAATGTATAGCCTGACGCTACCAAACTAGCACTTATTCAGAGTGTGTTTTAGAGAGAGAAAGCAATAAAGGAGCAGAGCCTAAAGCCACAACCACAAAAACTTCAGATCCAGTATCAGAACACACAGAATTACCCTTCGTTGATGCTTCCTTGCCACCGACTTCCCTCACGCTTGAAACCGGTTGGGTCTTGGTTATGGTGGTGCTCTAATAGCTACGAGTGCACACGGTTTAGGAGTATTTTGGGACCAAACCAATTATAACGGTTTTACTATTTTTGAAGTCAAACCGGACCATAATATCCATATAATCAAACCAAATCAAACCAAATCGCGAAAAACTGATTTGGTTCGTTCGGTTTGGTTTGTCGGTTTTAGTTAATTTTTTTTTTATTTTTAATTTTTAATTTAGAGGGGGCAAAAAAAAAAAAATAACAAAAGAAAGAAAGGAAGCGCGTGATAACTTTACTTGATTTAGGTTTAGTATATATATATATATAAAACATAGTAATGGTTCGATCCGGGCTGGTTCGGTCCGACACGACCCTAAACCAGGACTGGACCAAAAAATTACAATTCCATAATTTTGGGCTCAGGACCAGACCAAACCGTTATACAACTAGCCCAAATCGCCCAATTTAGTACGGTCCGATTCGATTTTTTTGTTTACCGAATTTTTTAAACACCCCTAATAGCCCTGTATTGCCACTGTCCAAAATTATATATTTAAAAATAAAAATAAAATGAACCTATTTTAATCAATTTACGGCTATACTTGGGTTAAGAATATTTCTACAAAAGTGTTTGTATTCGTATTGAATGCATGTTATACTAATTTGTATTTTATTTTATTTTATTTAAAATACGTACCCAATATTTTCGGTACCATATTTTTTAAATATTAAAATGTAACTTTTTCAATAATAATATAATTATTAAGAAAAATTCAAAACTTATTAATTAATGACTAAAAATACTTATTTTATGTGTTGTATAAGAAATTCTTATATTATATTAATAATTATATTTAAATACATAATACTACAAAAATTAATTAAAAAATATATTTTTCTACACAAATTATGTATCTATTATTATTATTTATTTTTTTTCGTATTTTCGCCCACTCTATTTTGTTTTTGAGATTTATTGTGGACTGGGGAGATGGATACTTCCTTCCCCTCTCAAACATCACCAGAACATCCCAAATCTCCTCTCACTCGAAACCCTAGCCATAGCCCCATCCTTTCTCGTCCTCTCACTCTCCCACCTTCTTCAAAACCCAGATCTCAATTCCTCGGTTACTAGGCATTTCAGCAATCCCATCACCATACATGAACTATGGAAACGATATTGATTCCGAGAATAATGGAGAGAGTGCTACGTGTTGGAGTCCGATGAAGATGAGGATATAAGGAAGACCCCGTCAAAGCTTATTTTCTGTATACCAGGTTCATTTCTCAATACATTTTTTTTTGTATATTTATAATTGTATATGTACACACACGACATATATGCCTATGCAAAGATGCTGTCTTTAATTGTTGGTTGTTGGGATAATGGATTCCGCATGTGTATGTGTGTGTTTTTTTTGTGTTTATATACTGTGTGGAATCTATGTCATTCTGCTCGCATTGGTGTATTATTGAGTTAACTGACTGAAATTTGGAAGGTTTGTTATTGCTTATAAAAAAATATTGGAATCTTAGTTATGGTTAAAAAATTTGGGTGTGGATTGCATATAAATTATATAATGCTCATGGATAGTCACCAGTCTGTGTAGATTTAGGATATCGATGAATTGGAAGTATTGTTGTTGACAATATGTGTTGTTTCCTTTGGGTGTCTAGAGGTGTGGCCAGCAAAATTATTCAGAGAAAGGTCTACGCTGATTGACATTGTGATGCGCTCTAATACTTCCTGTGGATAGATTTACTTTTACAAAATAATGAGCTACTATTCTCAATTTACCACTTCAGCTAGAAAGCTGTTTATTCAGAGCAAATGCATTGGAAACATTCCACTGGATGGAGAAAGCCATACCCAGCATAGTTTTAGAGAGAGCCGTTATTGTACGTCTTGTTGCCTATTGGTGGTACTTATAAAATTGCACTGTCATATAGAAGCCAAGTGTGAGTTGATTCTGAAAAAGAGTTTAGAAACCCCATTTTGGTTTTTGGACTGAAAGTAGTTGTTGTGGGCCTTGGAGTTGAACTTGACAGATTTACCAAATCTCTTTGCAAACTCAGTGGATTATGCCTCCGTACCTTCCCTCAGTCACCATGCAGATGCTGAACTTTTGAATTTTTTCCTGACTTAATTCTTACTGCCAGAACTCCGGTGTTAACATTTATTGGACACATGTCTTTCTCCTGATTTTCTTAAACCACCCTTCAGTCAACTTCAGAGTTTTTCCTTTTTCGTTGTAAGAACTTCTGTATTTATACTTCTAACTGATGCCTTTTTAAAAGTTTGCATGGCACTCTAGTGGAAACCAAGTGGAATAAACATCAGTCCTTACTTCAAAAAGTTTCCACAAGGTTTCCATTCTCCTTGTTTGGTTCCAGTCATTTTCTAACTGAAGTTGCAAGTTTTTGTCTTGGTTTGAATTTTTAGCCTCCAAGCTATAACTTCGAAAAAAATTGTTATATTTGGAACATGACAGATGATCTAATATTAAATTGCTATCACCCCTCTTCGGTTATCCCTCCTAGTTGGGGATTTCTATTTAAATGAGTGAAATTCTCTTTGAGAATGGGAATAAGTACACACACATAAATGTATGTACATATATATTGGGCCTTGGGTGCAAACAATTCCTTGGGCCTTTTTTTTTGTGGGGGGGTGAGTATCAACCAGGAATATATATATATATATATATATATATATATAAATTTATAGCTAATGTTTCTTACAATGTAAAAGTTTAACTTCTTACATTCTTTCTGTTGATATTAAATTCTGTAGCTAATTTTTGTTTGATTGAGTATTATAAATCATTTACATGGACTCGAATTTCTGTTTCAAGTTCGAGTGTGCTGTGTGCAATTCACATGACTTTTAAAAGATAGGATATGTGACACTACTGAGAGCTCCAGAGTGCCCGATCCCCGTCCAAAGGGTCTGGTCTTTTTTAAAAAAGATAAGTTATACCAAAATAATAAAGGTGCCAAGTACTTAACAGAGTTGGGGAATTGTATGGAAAAAAAAAAGAAAAAAAAAAAAAAAGAAAGAAAGAAGAAGAAGAAGAAGAAGAAGAAAATTCATAATTTCCTTCAGATTTTGTGAGAACTTATTTTACAGTTTTTTTTTTGGGTTAGAAGGTGACCAGCTGACCATATTACTTGATGGATAGTAGTTATAGATTTTTGTGTTTTTCTTTTTTTGTTGGTCTGTTTATTTAATCTTCTTGTTTTTGCTCTTCTTCGCATGCTTTTCTTTTTTGGGGCTTACTCCCTCACTCTCATCTTTCCTTGATTTTCTTTTTTCTTTTTTCTTATTTATGGTTTGGTTAGATTCATGGTTTTGGCAGTATCAATTTGAAGAGCATGCAAGCTGAGAATTCAAGCAATGTTATTCCTCCGATCTCTCGCTCATCAAATTATATCGACCTTAGATTTTGCAATTTCCCTTCAGAAGCTACTGTAAGAAGACTCAATAAATGTTTTGTCATCTATTTCTATTTCCCAGTTCTTTCTGTTTTCTTCTGATTTTCCCTGGTTCTTCCATCATTTTTCCATTTCCTTATGAATCAATCAGATTTTTTTGTATTTTTGTTCGTTTACGTTGCATTAATGTAGTATTCCCTTGTTGTCTAAGCAGTTTTAAACAGTTTATCGTTTGTTCGAGAATTGAATATTATTCAATTAGTTGGTCCAATGGAATAGGCTCTTACCAGCTTTTGGCCTGACGTATGAAGCTTTATATTTGTTTGGTATTAATCTTTTGTCTTCTAAGCGTCCATCCTTAAAATTTATTTAGATGGTATCTTTTGGGTTATGCCATGATTAATGTCGTTTTAATTTTTCGTATTGGTTTGAAATAGTGTGCCAAGTTGGAATTAGGTGGTATAGTCATTGTTCCAGTTGACATTGTGCCTGTTTTTATAACTGAGTTCCAAACAGACTATTAGAGAATTGTCCTGAACTTCTAAATTTAGATTCAAATGTATATGATTCATAGCCTTCTGCTTACTTAGAACCTTTGGGTGTCAAAGAATTGGAGTTGAAGAGAATGTGAGCTGGTGGTGTTACATGGTTGTATCCCAATATGGGTCAGCTGTCCTGTTCAACATGGAGGATGATGAGGTTGAGTCTTACCTGGAAATTGTTAGAAGACATGCTTCTGGATTTCTTCCAAAGACAAGGAAACAATGGTTAGAACAACCACCCCCCCCTCTTTTTTTTGGAGCTGAAACTAGCTTCTTGAGTTATCTACTCAGCTTTTGCTCTTGATAGACAATGGATTATGTGGGTTTCATAGCTGAATGACACTTGGACTCTGGTTCATGAGATGTTATAAGAAACAGAAGCAAGACAAACCATATGTGGTTTAATCTGGACTCTGGAAAAGGATTTCACTTCCCAAAAAAAAACTGCTGGTACTTAATGAAATATCTCTCAACTAATTTTAAACAACATTTGGGAGAAGTGGATACTAATTTCTTACTTTAATATCCTGTTTATCTCTTAGAAGTTAGAACTGTAAGCCATTTGAAATAATTTTTGGGAGCTCCATGATATATATTAATAAGTACGTCATATGCATTCAGATAACCACCAGGACTTGAACATGCACCTTCCCTTTGGTCCTTTGGGAGTTGCTAGAAATGGCACTCAAAGCTAATTGCTAACACCTGGCTGTTGCTGAAGCTCTATAATATTTAGCATTTAAATTTTTTTTATCTGTGGTTATTCTTGTTTTATACATTAGTAAGGAGTTGGTGTTCATTTTTTGTCTTTATTTATTTTCACTAAGGGAAGGGGGTAAAAGAGAGGGAGGGAGGAAGAGGAGGGAGAGTTGGCTATATAATGTGGTAGGTTCCCACTCTTTGACCCAATTCCTGATGCATGGGGCGAAATGCTGGTTGAAGCCCCCAATGGGAACCTATGGAATGGGGATTAGAAGTAGTGCTGCTTGCTATAAATAACTTTTGGAGACGCCAGAAATTATTGTGAATTATGAAAATTCTTCGATTGATGGATAAGAAAAGTGGGAAAAACGATTTCAAAAGAAGCTTTTGAAGTGAAAGTGAATTATATCAGATGACCGATTGCTTCAATCCAGAATAAGGCGAAGAAGAGGCTAAAATAACTCTTTCAACAGTTGCATAGACAGCCACTCGAATATTCGAAATTTTCGCATAGCTGAGGATACAAGTGGCACTGTGTCTACGACCAGAACTATCCAATGTCGAACCACCAATTTTGGTGCTCACCGAATGATCCAAAGTAAACCCATTATAGGGGTCAACACCGGCTTCCAATCTTGGTGTGGAGGGTTGTAACCGACAAGTGCCAGTGCCTCTTGAGCTTCTCTGCCTCTGTCAACTGTTTGTTATTGTCACTTACCTGGAATTTTCAGGTGACATGGAAAGCAACATTTTTCAGCTATATTGTAGCATTTAATTTCAATTTCAAGGGTCATTTTTATTTCACGGCTTTTACCCCTCTTTATAACTGTCAAATAAGGAATAAGGTAGATACTAGAAGGCCACAAAACCACGAGTCTGAATTGTCAGATTTCTTTCATATATAGATTTTCCAAGATTGTTAAGGATCAACTGATGCTCTCTATGCATTCGGATTGGGTTGTGAAGTTGTTCATTAACTTTCGTCAAGTTTTGAAGTAAACATCCATTAGTATTTTTTTTGATAAGTAAACAGCCATTAGTATTATTAAGGATAGGAATGTCTATTAGATTATTACATTATTTGAGCGTATCTAACCTCTCACTTGCCATGATAAAGGAATCTCCCTTATATATCCAGTGTTGTTAAAGGCGCGCCTAGGCTCGAGGCTCAGGTTTAGCGCCTGTTGTCATCCCAGGCTCACTGATGTTTACTAGGCGCGCGCCTTGGTTGCGCCTCCTCCTATTTGTGAGGTGCACCTAGGCGCGCTTCACTGATATTTGTTTAAAAAAATACGATTGTTCTTTTTCTTAAGCCAAAAGGGGTACTTTTGGCAACTTAATAAACAAAAAAGAAAGCTCAATCATACAATATAAGGAACTTTTGTTCAGAGGAATAAAAAAATAAGAAAGCCCAAGAGTCAAAGTGTTAACTAAACAACGATAGAATGAGATTGTGAGACGAAGACGAAGCCCTAGTTGCAGAGATGAACGACGAAGCCACGTTAGTTCTTTCTTTTCTTTTCTTTTTTCTCTCTTATCCTCTAGATCTCTCCTCTCTTATCTTTGTTTACATCTCTCTCTTCGTCTAGTTCTCTCATCTCTGTCTTTTTTTTTTTTTTTGCTCTGTTTTTTTTTTCTTTTCTTTTTTTCTTGTTAACAATTTTTTTTTTTTAAATATATTTATTTCTTTTTGTGCTTTGTTTTTCCATTCAAAAAACACATTTTGCTTTGCCTTTCAAGAAAACAAATTTGTGCTCTGTTTTATAGTTGTTGGATGCTTGTATAGTTGATGGATTTTCTTTTTTATATTTGATAGTAATTTTTAGAATATTGATATGACTTATGAGATATGAATGTTATTATGGTAGTTTAAATTTTCAATTGTGCACCTCATTTCACTCAGGCGCACGGCGAGGCTCCAAAGGACCTCTAGCGCCTTGGGCCTTTAATAACTATGTATGTTACTTAGACACAATTTAGTTGGTCATTGTTCCAGAAACTACCAAACTTCAGAAGTAATATCAAGTTCAACTGGAGCATGTTCATTTAGCTAATGTACTGTTTTTTCCCTGTTTGTACTTGTTTGTCCTGCAACCTTCCACAATTTTTTTGCGTCCTATTTATATTGTTCTTTTGATCAGATGGTAAGAGTTGAATTCACATGATTCAAACAGTCTTTCTTGATTCTACAGTTTTAAATTTTTTGCGTTCTTTTTATATTGTTGTTCTTTTGATCAGATGGTAAGAGTTGAACCCACATGATTCAAACAGTCTTTGTTGATTCTACAGTTTTATGAGCAATTAGATTTTCATACTTTGCTATATCCATCCGAGATGATACTCTATATTTTGCTGTATGGTCACTGTTATATATGCAATGCATACTCACAATCGTTTATAGAGTTTACATATTATTAAAATGTTTTTGTTTGTTTTCCACTTTTATTTATTTTGTTGTAAAAGAGAAGCCAATGGTGGTTGAGGATATATAGGGTGGAGACTACATTGTCCTAACAAATCTGGACACTGATAGTATCTGCATTATTGGTAGTGTGCTTGGGCTAAGTATTGCTCCAGATTATTTCGTTTCACAGGTAAATAGATTTTAGTTATGATACCTGGACTCGGGTATGTGTCCATGTGTCGGACGTGTCATATCACTAAACAGAAGGACACATGGACACTGCTAAATATTCATTTTATTTAATTATTTTATTTTATTTTCTAGAGTAAAGTAATGTTTTTATCTAATATAGTGTACAATATAGGCATTTAACTCAATTTAAAGAAATAATATAATATAATTGAATGATTGGATATGCTTTTTAAGTACATTTCCACCCAAAAATGTCGGACACATATCCCATACCCATGTCCGAGCAATATGTGTCCAACATGGTACTTCACTACTTTTGAAGAGTCCAAGTAACATAGGATTTCAGAAATATATCTTCTATAATTTTGTGTTATCTGGTAGAGGAAAAAGGCATAGTAGTGCTTGTAACTGTTATATATTGTTCCAATTCCTTTATGCTTGAAACAAAATTAACCCAAGCATTCACCATACGCATTGCCTGCCATTTTGCTTCTAAATATGACTCTATATATTTGCATAGCTTGCTATTTGGCATGCTAGTTTTGGCAAAAACTAAATTCAAAGTTGGAATAAAGTTCTGTCTCTCTCTCAGGTTGATGGTTTGGTTGAAGAATTCACATATATAAATCATGGAATGGAGAAAACTGGTACTTTCACAATGGATGGGAAGAAAATCTTTCAACTGGTTGGGAAGGCAAATTCAAATCTAGCGGATGTAATTCCCAAAGTCGGTCTTTTTGAGAGGTAATCTCACACATGTAAATTCTTGTTTCACATATGATATCACGAGATGTGGCTAGATATATCTGCATATGAGGAGTACAAAGAAGTGTATTTACACACCTCATAATGCAAGGTTTAAAATTTAAAGGACCTTCTAGATGAGTTCCCACCTCTCCCTGTTCCTGGTGAGCAAGTATGGTAGGAAGAAACACAATGTACAAGATTGAGGGGGGCGTACCCTCCTAAACAAAACAAAAACTCCCCCCACCACCCAAAAAAAAATACGGAAGTGAGCCATATCTAGAACACGCAATTGATAATCTAAGTTTTCTCTAGAAATGGAACTTATGTTCTAAAATTTGAAACTTAAAAAGTTAAAATAGTCAATATATATATATATATCTTCTTAATAAAAAAACTTGTGGTAGTTTGGAATGGAGAAATGTAAAAAAAATCCTGGAATCTGAAACATTTTGCCACAGAAATGATAATCTGGTGATTTTCCCAGTTTCTACTGCACATCTTTTTTGAACTTCATTACATATATTTTTGAGTAAAAAACGTTTTACGTTATTTTTGCTCAAGTTTATTTTTTATTATGCGAGTGAGATTGTTGAATATTTATGTCGCAACATCTCAAATTTACTATGCCCTTCTCTGTTCAGATCAGAAATTGCTTGGAGAGATGCAAAATATGCTCAAATCTGTGAGTACCTTAGGGAGTAATATGAGATCACGCAACGTTTTGGAAACCTTGATTTCAAATTGGAATTTGTGGAGGCATCATTTCTATTTAATATTTCCTGCAGTCCTGTTATTAACTTTTAGGTTGGTCCATGTAGGAGATTAAAAGTTTCCTTAGTTGATGATTTCTTAAGATAGCACATAATTCAGTGATTTTGTTGAGAGTTGGCATCCACTAGAAGATATGAGAAGTCTTCTGTCAACAAATTTATAGAAACTAAAAACTGCACATGGAGGGCTTTGATTGCTAATTAATAACTGACCAAAAATTGACATGCCAACAGTAATGTGGCTCCTATATATACTTTTTTTTATTTTTGTAAGTGATGTGGCTACTATATAGTATATATACACTTCCATGAAAATGTTATATCTTACACGGCAACCATTCTTTATGGTTATGTATTTGTGGCTGTTTGAAGGTTATCAATCATCATACAGTTTACCTCAAAATAATAATACTGTAGTCCATAATTTACCTATATATAGTGTATGATCCATTAAATTGTGATACTAGTAAAAACTATTATAATTATGTATTGTTATAAATGAAATGTTATTTCATATTTTTTTATGTAACTGTTGTTAGACCTTTAAAATGAATTCAAGTCCGTCCTCCAGAACAGAAAGTCGGATCTTTTGGAATGGTGCATCATATTCCTGTTAAGCATAGAAAATGTTATATCAATATACGAGATCATTCGCGAGTCGCTGCAGCTCCTATGTGATAATGAGTTACACCAAGTACACAACTTTTGACAGCTAGTAAAAATACTATAGCAAAATCTAGTCATATAGTGTTTACGATTTGACTTTTTGTGCTTTAATGATATTTTTCGTCTGCCTTGCAATCCCACTAGTAATACCTGTTTTTTGCTTTTTGAATTGCTCTCAGTCTCAGCAGCTAAAATGGAAAACATGTAGAAAGCTCACAACAAAATTTTGGAATGATGGAAGTTCAGAACAGGGAGCAATGGTAGTGCTTAATACTGATACAGGCTTTGTATACTTGGAGACTCATTTTTATATGATGAGACATGCGCGACTCTCTCAAATTCGACCTATCGTTGGACGGATATAACCTGGGCACCAGCACTCTTGGAAACCACTAATCAGATCAAGCTGTAAAATTGGCATGCTGCTTCAGAAATAAAACTACAGACAATACCCTCTCTTTTGGGAAGAAATCTAAAAATGTTGGTGGTTAATTCCAGTTATTTTCACTTGTAAATGACAGACTCCTGCTAGTCAAACATTGTCGTAATACAACTTCTTGATTGAAGAAGAAGAAGAAGAAGAAGATTATGGAATGTATGCTCAGATATTGGCTGTGCCATTTTACTCCAATTTTGTTACTTCCATTTCACAGTATAGCTTTCTCTCTGAGATGCTTATAACCACATGAATATGCAATCCAATGGTTAAAAATTCGAGTTGCATTAGTGTGGTAAGAGTATGCTATGGATCAGTTCTTCAAGCATTTTCACTAAACAAGACTCTTTTTCAATGATACATAATAAAAAATATATATATAAAAACAAAAATACTATGTTATGTTTGAGAGCGCCAAATATGAGATTGAATATTGAATGTATACCAATGTACACAATTCTCAAAAGCATATTCTCTAAAAAAATCAGCCTAGAAGTTAATGACCACAAAATGCCATTAAAAGAAATTCTCTCTACTACAAATCCTTTACAGTATCCAGCATATCAGCAAAAGCTTACGGTATTCGGCATTTCAGCAAAAGCTTACTAAAGAGACCTGAAATAGCAAGCAAATGGTAAGAAGTAAAACACTGGTCCCAAAACAGACCAGCCAAAAACTAGAAAGGAAAAAAAAAAAAAAAAAAAAAAAATCTGAACATGGATGAATACCTAAGAGCTAGCTGTTCAATCAGAAGATGAGGGCTTATCTTCTTTTCCCTTCTACAAAAACAAACGGATAATCAGAGAAAGAAACATAAATAAATCTAATAAAAATGTAAAAATGACTACTTACTGATTGGTCTTCCAGAGCTTTACCATGCTTCTTGTCCTTTGCCCCAAGAGGAGCTTTCTCCTAAATATAAACATCAGAGAATAATCAGCTTCTGAAGAGCTGTGTCCCAACAACCAAAAATTCCAGAGAGTCCACTTAAAGTAAAACACTGAGAAAACAAACGGATAGATTATGATTCATAATCTGAGAAAGAAACATAAATAAATCTAATAAAAATGTAAAAATGACTGCTTACTGATTGGTCTTCCAGAGCTTTACCATGCTCTTTGTCCTTTGCCCCAAGAGGAGCTTTCTCCTAAATATAAACAACAGAGAATAATCAGCTTCTGAAGAGCTGTGTCCCAACAACCAAAAATTCCAGAGAGTCCACTTAAAGTAAAACACTGAGAAAACAAACGGATAGATTATGATTCATAATCTGAGAAAGAAACATAAATAAATCTAATAAAAATGTAAAAATGACTGCTTACTGATTGGTCTTCCAGAGCTTTACCATGCTCTTTGTCCTTTGCCCCAAGAGGAGCTTTCTCCTAAATATAAACAACAGAGAATAATCAGCTTCTGAAGAGCTGTGTCCCAACAACCAAAAATTCCAGAGAGTCCACTTAAAGTAAAACACTGAGAAAACAAACGGATAGATTATGATTCATAATCTGAGAAAGAAACATAAATAAATCTAATAAAAATGTAAAAATGACTGCTTACTGATTGGTCTTCCAGAGCTTTACCATGCTCTTTGTCCTTTGCCCCAAGAGGAGCTTTCTCCTAAATATAAACAACAGAGAATAATCAGCTTCTGAAGAGCTGTGTCCCAACAACCAAAAATTCCAGAGAGTCCACTTAAAGTAAAACACTGAGAAAACAAACGGATAGATTATGATTCATAATCTGAGAAAGAAACATAAATAAATCTAATAAAAATGTAAAAATGACTGCTTACTGATTGGTCTTCCAGAGCTTTACCATGCTCTTTGTCCTTTGCCCCAAGAGGAGCTTTCTCCTAAATATAAACAACAGAGAATAATCAGCTTCTGAAGAGCTGTGTCCCAACAACCAAAAATTCCAGAGAGTCCACTTAAAGTAAAACACTGAGAAAACAAACGGATAGATTATGATTCATAATCTGAGAAAGAAACATAAATAAATCTAATAAAAATGTAAAAATGACTGCTTACTGATTGGTCTTCCAGAGCTTTACCATGCTCTTTGTCCTTTGCCCCAAGAGGAGCTTTCTCCTAAATATAAACAACAGAGAATAATCAGCTTCTGAAGAGCTGTGTCCCAACAACCAAAAATTCCAGAGAGTCCACTTAAAGTAAAACACTGAGAAAACAAACGGATAGATTATGATTCATAATCTGAGAAAGAAACATAAATAAATCTAATAAAAATGTAAAAATGACTGCTTACTGATTGGTCTTCCAGAGCTTTACCATGCTCTTTGTCCTTTGCCCCAAGAGGAGCTTTCTCCTAAATATAAACAACAGAGAATAATCAGCTTCTGAAGAGCTGTGTCCCAACAACCAAAAATTCCAGAGAGTCCACTTAAAGTAAAGTAAAACACAAAAACTAAAAACAATTTGCTGAACTAGAAAAGTATAGACCTGATCCCTGCCATCCTTGGCTTCCAAGACTGTCTTTGCCAGTTTGTACATGGCTTCGTGTTTTTCTTTTATACCCTTTTCCTCCATACCCTTTACCGCCATTCGCAGAAAATGAATGAATTCATCTTCTTCAGCCTACAAAATGAATAGAAATTAGGTTAAAACAAATTAAAAATTTATTAGAAAATTTAAAATTGGACATAACTTTACCTCCGGAAAATTGATGCCATGTACTTTCATGAACAGCTCCATTAAAATCCTCGTTCTTCTCCGTTCGCTTAGAGAAAGGGCTCGCATCACTTGCCTATAATTTGCTTCATCTGCCTCTTCATCTGCCTTGTTCTTCGCTTCATCTGCCTTGTCCTTCACTTTCCGTTTCTCAATGATGTATTGTTGAAGGACAGGCAAAATTGCCAGCGAAAACAATACATAGTCCTTTAGCTCAATTTTACTTAGGGCAGCAACCAATTTTGTAGAGAGTCCTGAAAGAAATTGAACTTAAAAACAAGCCAAAAGCCAAAAACTTGCAAAGCACACTTGATGAGATAGACAGTAAACTTACCAGGCCTGAAGACATACGCCGGTAGCATGGAAATTGATAAGGCTAGAGAGACCAGCCCTGTCAACTCCTTCAACACATTACTACTTTGTGGCTTTACTTCATTGTTTTCAATGTTTTCAGTATCAAAAGTGAACGTTTCAGTTTCAGTTTCAGGCCACTTGAAACTGAAGCCAAAATCCGAAGCACTGCCATAGGGGTAATATTGAACCTACAAAAATGTTTTTTAAGATTAAAAAAGGGAGTAAGAATGGAACAGCTCCCAAAATGGCATAACCAAATAATTGTTTAGCTGCTCATACCTCTCTTAAAGGGTAGGGTAACTCGATAGGACAACCCGGTTCTTCAGTTGGGTTGCTTGGGTTACTGCTGGAAAAATCCGCAGTTCCTCCTAAAACCCTCAGGAACGGGTAAAGTTTCCTTGACAAATAACTAGCCATCTAAAAAAATATAATATTTAGAAAAGAGGTCAAAGAACACAAAGTAAAGAAAATAGAAGAATTAGTAGATTAGTATTTAACACAACAACACAAAAAAAAAAAAAAAAGCAAGAACAGAAAGAATACATTAGAGATTAGAAATTAGAACATAAAATACAAAGAACACAACTAGAAAATAAAAAAATGGAGCTTTAAAAGAAATTAATTCTTCCTAGGTCAAGAACATAAAGAATAGAAAATCATCAAAAAAAGTCAAAAAAGGAAGAACTTGAGACCTGGTTAAGAAATAAACGATAAAGAGCTTTGAAATAAACCCAGTTAGAGATTAGAACATACTAGAACATACTATCCAAAGAACACAACTTTTAATTTAGAAAATAAAAAATGGAGCTTTCATAAATCAAGGTCAAAGAAGAACAGAAAATCATCGAAAGAGTCAAAAAAAAAATAAAGAAAATAGAAGAACATTTAGCTATTCTTGAGATAAGCAATAAACGAGCTTTGAAAGAAACCCATTCTGAAGTTTCATACATTGACAGAGAAAAGATTGATTACAGAGAAAAGATTGATAAATCAAGGTCATAGAAGAACAGAAAATCTCACAAGAAAATAGAAGTACATTTATGTATTCTTGAGACTTAACCGATAAAAATTGAAGCTTTGAAATTCAAAACCCATTACGTTAAAAGATTAGAACATATAACATTCAAAAAAACACAACTTCCAAAATTAAAGAAATAACACAATTGAGAAGGTCAAGAACAGAAAGTATTGTAATAAATTAGTTCTTACCAGGTGAAATGTTGTCTTGATTGGTCAGAGTGTGCGCGTTAGAGAGAGAACGATGGAGTATTCAGTCCAGAAGAGAGAACGATGGAGTATTCAGTCCAGAAGAGAGAACGATGGAGTATGCGTTGTTCACATTTAACTGCTCTGTTGTTAATTCTGTTTTTTCAGTTATGGAGAGAGAGAGAGCGCGCGATGGTTATAGATGCGGGCCACCAGCCAGCCCAGTTTTGGACTGGGCCCAGTTTTGGACCACCAATAAAAAATAAAAAATAAATTGCGAAAAGTCATATTTGCCCCTGAATCTATCCTGTAATCACACCCACCACCGCTCTGCAATCCCTCACACCCACCACCGCCACACACTGCCACACCCACACCCACACCCACAGACCGCCATAACCACCGCCGCAACCAACAGAATTCCGAACCACACAACGCCACCCACCGCCACAACCAACCACCGCTGCAACATCAAACAATTGACCCCCACAACGCCACACACACCGCCGCAACCACACACCGCCAACGTTGGCGTCGAAGAGAGTCGCGACTGATTCACTCAACCCAGTTGCCGGAATCGATGGCGTCGAGCGACGGTGTTGCTGTCTAGTGACGTTAAGGTGTTGTGGCGGCCGCGGATTCGGCGATATAGGCCTGGTCGGAGTTGGTGACTTCGACAATTTGCTCCGCCGCCGAAGCATTTGAGTCCGACCTTGAGGGAGAATGGGTTCGGCTTGGTAGTGTGTGTGGATGGGGCTATGGCAGTGGTTGTTGTGGGATCGGCTTGGTGGTGTGTGGGTTCAGCGATAGTTGTGGTGGGTTCGGCTTGGTGGTGTGTGGGTTCGGCTTGTTGCCAGTGACCGGCGAGGTTAGGGATTGTAAAAGGGTGAAGTTTTGGTTGAGAGAAAACGAGGGTTGGTGGTTTATACACCATAGCCTATAGGGGAGTTGGGCACTGGGCTTACCTGAATGGTTTGGGTCGGGTCTCAATTAAGTGGAATGATAAAGCCCAAAATTCTAGAATATCTCGGGTACAGTGCCCGGGTCTTGGTTGAAACTTGAAAGTGGCTGGCTGGATGATTAGGATTAGCGATGGCAACGGGGCGCAACCGTTTATTTTTACCTTACAGGTACTCGCCACGTCCCGTTTAAGATTATAATTTATTATTGTTGAAATAAATTTGTTTTTTTTTTTTTTTTTCCCGCCCCGCCCTGCCCCGTCCCGTTTAAGACTATAATTTATTTATTGTTGAAATAGATTTGTTCTTTTTGTTTTTTCTCTCATTTTCAGTTGTTAATCATTGTAACTTTCTTTTTAATCATTCATTTGTTACTTTAATATTGTTGAGAGGAATTATGTGAATGAGAGTTAAGAAACCTAGGGTTTCTAATGGAAAATATATATACTAATGAATTAAATGTACTTAAGTAATTTGCCTATCTAAACGGGACGGGACAACCTCTCCCGCCCCCGCACCAAATCCGCACAGAGTTTTATTACATCAAACCATTCTCGCCCAAATAAACTAAAATGTCTCCCAAAATCACTAAAATCGGGGCATGGCAAATTGCCATCCCTAATTCGGATGATTCAAAATCTAAACCACTCATAACTTTACGCTATGCTTGGAACAGTTATAAAAAAAAAAATTAAAAAAAAAAAGATTGGGGTTAACTAATAAAGAAAAAAGAATTGGAAGAAAAGATAGTAATAATCCCAGAGAAAAAAATAAAATGAAATTATCTTAATGAATTTATTATTTTATCGTTTTATATTTTAAAAAATAAATTTATAATTTAAGTGTGTAATTTAAAAATATATACAAATTTGATAACAAGTTTCTTATTGGGGTGAAACTCCTGGATCTCTCACCTCTACTTCATGTTTATACCCCTAAATTGTTACCATAAAAGATGAACCAACTAACTTATATTTTTTTAAAATTAAGCATGATTCAAATTAAATGTTCTAATATATGAAAACTCTGACAAAATCATTTTGTAATTTTTTTTTTGTCCAGCAAAAGTGACTTTCTATGGGTAAAACGTGTCCTTTCATTTCTTTTCCTCTCGCACCAAATTGAACCTAGAGTATTATAGAAATTCTAGTAACTTAGACACTAACTTTAAATATTTTAAAGCTTAAACTTATTTATTTATTAATATATTATATATATATATATATATATATATATATATATATATTTGAATTCAAAATAAATAAATTGTGAGTTTGTTCAAGAACATGTTTGTAAACTAACAAGTCCAACAAAAATATTATTTGACTTTTCTATCTTAATGAAGCATGAAAATTATGTTTTAACTCGGACTCATTTATTAAACATGCAAACATGAATCGAACTCATGGCGAGCAGAACCTGAACTATAATTATTAATAGGGTAAAGTGCATAAAACCCCCTGAACAATTAGTCAATTGCATGAAGCCCCCTTAATTAAGAATTACCTCCTAAACTATCAAAATAGTGCACTTTAAGGACAAATCCAAAAATTGCTCTCATTAGAGACCACTGGAAATGTTTGATTACAAAATTACCCTTTAATGAAACTATGTGGTTTTATTGTTTTAATTCTAATGTTACTGACGTGGCAAATACAATCTTAAACAGCCAATAACATTGTGACAGCACATCACCTTATCACAACAACCCACTTAACACTTATAAAAAATTAAAAAAAAATAGAGACCCAATTAGATTACACTAGTATATATTTTAGCGCCAAATACGCCTTATGCATAACTCTTTCTCTCTCTATGCTCTCTTACGAGCTTGGTCTCCCGCAGCCACAGATATTGCCGACCAATCACCTTCGATAGCCATCTTCACCGACCAGTTGGCCTTCAAGGAAGTTCATGTACGGCCTGTATGATGATCACCATAAAAGTTTATTGCCTATGTCTGTTTGTGGTTCACCAGAATGAGATTTCACTAGTTCGGTCACTGCGATTGCTTCGTTGCTTATAGCTTCTTGCTGGCAGTCATGGACCTTAAGGTCGGCCTCTCACTGGGTTTGATGCGATTTCCCGTTGATGCTTGGAGCTTCTCGCCTGCAGTCATGAAGTTTGACGTTGGGCTCTCACCCGTTGATGCGATTGCGTCGTTAATGCGTAGAGCTTCTCGTCGGCGGTCATGAAGTCTGAGGTTGGGCTCTCCTAGTACACTTTTGATTGGAGTGTCCAAGTCGTTTCCTATTGCAAATGGGTATGAATTAAAGATTAGAATCTAATGAGTATGATACGAGTCACCACCTACTTGTTTAGTTTTTTAGCTAAACCTATATTTTTGGTAATACAGAGATAAACAGTAGAGACTGTATCAAAATATATCACGGGAATTTGGACTTCTTTGTCAGAATTAAGAGCGAAATCAAATATGCCATTGTTTATAATGCATGTGACCGGTCCTTTAGCATCAGAATTGCAGTTGTCAAAGATTAGCATCACTCAGAAAAAGGGTTTTAATTCAATCAAATGATAACAAATTGTACCCATCACTTGTTCTTCTGATGACTATTATAGATGATTTATACCCTTCAGTCTCTCTTCATCTTCCAATTGTTACGTAAACACATCCCATTGCCTCAAAAAATTCTGAATTTTTTGCAGAATCTTTTCACACCCAAAGTGTAGGTGCAAAATTCTGCTCAACCAATAATGATTGAGAACAATTAAACAACACACTTAAAAAATAGTAAGAATAAATAAGAACAATAGATATAGAAGTGTAGAATTGCTTGATCTCTTTATTAGAGGTCCAGGCCTCAATTTATCTACAAAGATTGGTAGAATTATGGTAGGACTCACCTTGCTTGTCCTCCAATTATTACCATCTTTGATATTCTTTACAAATAGAGTTCTTTCTATTGTATATAATTTTCCATACATAGAACTTGCCTTGTATGGAAAATTCTATCATATAATCGTCCTTCTACAACAACTTCCTTCTTTGTTGTATCATTTATCTACAAGAACTGATATTCTTTTAATGAATTTGGGCCGTACATGACCTGATCCATGCGACTTTGCTAATGGGCTGGATCTCTTAGTTCAGACTTAAACGATACTAGAAATTAGTTAGCTGTGATCTTGGGCTAGCGAATATGACTTTGGGCTAGCAACGAGCTTGGACTGGGCTCTAGGCAGGATGGGCCTCTGACATTTGTGATGGAAATTTATATTGTGATGACGTGTATCATTCTCATTGGAGGGAGATTTTTCCCTCCACACTTTGCCCTCAATTCCCTCTTCAATTGGATTACGGCTCCTATTAAAAGGGAAATAAAGTTGCACAGTTGTCTATTTTGCCAAAAGACGGTTCGCAGATTGCCCATTGCCATTCTGCCTTAAGAGATTCCATAAAAGTTACTTCTATTCTCACTGTGTTCCTTGCGCTTCTTGCGTTCTTCACTTCGTCATTTTGCTAGGTTAGTTTTCCATTTTCTTCTTTTCAATCTTGCATTATGATCATTTCATCTACTCCTGAACACATAGAAAACATAGATTCTGAATCCACGCCCTCATCGTCCCCTGCACTTATTAGGGTTCCTCCCCCTAGGGTTCCCAATCTTACTGGTTCTGTAAATACTTTGACCAATCAATCCAATATCCCTTGACTTCAAGCCGAAACATCCACTTCTGGATCAGATTACATCTTTACTAAAGAAGAAAGAGATGCAATTTTATCTATTCGTCGTATTAAGTTCTCTATTGAATCTACAATGGAGGACTTTGAGATTCCTGAGGGAGTTGAGATCGTAGAATACCCCGAGGGTGCCAATTTTTGTGCCGGCGAAGGCGTCGGAGATGATGAGTTGCTTCTCTGAGTTCGTCATCTCAACGCTCTTCGGTTCCCCCTTCCCTTTCTATCATTTAGTTTTCAATCAATTAGGTATTTCACCCCTTCAAGTAAACCCCAACTTCTTCCGAATAATCTCGGCACTCCTAATTCACCGAAGGCTGGAGAGCCTTGATCTAACTTTTGCTGACTTGTTGATTACTTATACCATTTCCAAACAAGGGAACGAACCTGGTCGCTTTTTCTTTACCTCTCCCTTGCACCAGAGGATATACACAGACGTCCTTTCCTCTGAAAAGAAATGGAAAGAGAGGATGATGATCGTTAAAGGGAAGTGGGTTGTGTCTCAATCGAGCAAGCTCCCAATCCCAAGCAAGTTTGGGAAGTTAGGTATAGAATATGCCCCTTCTTATAAAAATTATTATAGTTGTTTTCCATGTCGAGTCTTACTCTTTCGATATATTTATGAATTTCTTGGTCTTGTTTCAATGACATTTCCTCCTTCCTCAGCT